ACATAAGGAGGCCTGCCCATACCGGGCAATTGTCACGGAGCGAGGCACCTGGCAGCGCCAAGTGGCTGCCCACCTCCAGAAGCACCTTTCCAGCCTAAGCCTCTCGGATCCATTTCTGGTCCGCAATTCTGAGCCAGTGGTGCGGTCACTGCGGTTTGAGAAATACGGTCATCATGAGATTTTTAGTGTGGATGTTCAAGATCTTTTTTATTCCATTCCCCATCCACCTCTGCTTGCTGCGGTTCAATCGTGCATTGAAAGCAACGGAGAGCTCGCATTTCGAAATGCTACCGGCATCTCCATCGAGACTTCCTAGAGCTGTTAATTTACTACCTTAAGTCTACGTACATCGGGTGGAAGGACAACCTTTACCTACAGAGGTCCGGTGTACGTACTGGGTCGTGCGTTGCCCCTGTTCTCAGCGACATCTTCCTGGCCAGGGTTGATAGAATTATCCATGATTCTTTTAATACCCTGCCTGTATGAAAAGTGTTTCGATACGTGGATGATTTTTTGATTGTGTACGAAAAAAGGGGTGGAAGGTCATGGTGTACAACAGGTAGTCGAAACCTTCGTCAAGTGCGGTTCGGGACTAAAGTTCACGTTTGAGGAACCCAAAGATGAGACCCTGCAATTTTTGGATCTATCCCTATTGGCCCAAGCCAACCACTTATGCTGGTCCTACTCTCCCAGGCCAAAAAAAGCCATTCTGCCCTACACATCCTCCCACTCTAAGATTGTGAAAAGGGGCATAGCCATGTCCATTTTAGGCTCGGCCTTGGAAAAATCATGTTTTCATACCGTGAAGGACAGTTTTTGCTCTCAACTTGAACGCCTTAAAGGCGGGCGCTAAAAATTTTCTTCAGCGTGGCAGAAGATTCCCCCTCTTTTCTTTTTTTCCTCCTCCCCTTTCCTCCTCCATTTTCCTCCTCGCTTTTTCCGGCCTTCTCGCACGAGTGCTAATGGGCTTACCGGCCCCCCGACAAAATCTCTGTAACCTTTCAAGGTTCTCTGCTTCAATCCCAAACACCAGGGATTAGTTAGGCAGGCTGGATATGAGCTCGGAAGGGTTCGGGCTGGCTCGCTTTTCGCCTTTTTTTATTTTTTTACTCTTTTTGTGCAGCTCTAAAAGTCAACACCAACTAGCCCAACAACAAGTTATTTTACATTCAGGTACTTCCGCATGCGGCCACATACGCTACAACACCCCGTATTTATCTCGAGTGAACGTAACCTGAACATTAGAGCAGAAGGAAAAAAGATGGGTATTTTTATCTGAACTTTGAGCTCTAACCAGAGAGTTGAAAATTGGTCTGCTAACATTGGCAGACTGAAGAGTGATTGTATCACTATTGTGTGTTTTTTTTTTTTTTTTTTTTGTACAAAGTAATATTCATGAGTAATTACAAGTTAAAGATATTGCAGTCAGAGGGACACAGTCTGACCATTTCTGGGGCATACTATATAGGCTCGTACTACAGGTGTTTTCTAGAGTGACGGCCGCCTCGTCGAAGCTACTAAGAAGAGTAAAAACAAACTTCCATAAAAAGTGAAACGGTTTATGGTATATTTCATCTATCTCCAGCCTTTGAAAAAAATTTCTTCGTGGCCAAACGTGCATTTAGTTTCTGTCAACAAATGTAACTAAAAACTCGACAGCCGACAAATATCTTGTGTATCAGCAAAGAGATCGGGAAACACGGAGATTGAACCGCAAAATCACAATTTTCTTCGCGTAAAATAGTGCAAATAGCAATAGTACCCATATTATTCCATTTATTAAAAGACAGCAGGTATTACGAAGTTTTCATTCGCTTCTGTTCCCATTTGTTCGCTGATTAAGAAAGGGAATGCCCAGATAGCCTATGCAGCCCTTGCATCATAATTGTTCGGGGCTCTGTCAGGGTGGGCAAAGGCCAGCGTCCATCTTCAAAAAAAAAAAAAAAAAAAAAAAAAAAAACCAGGAGTTTGGAAGGCGTATTACCGCAAGTTTTGGGGCTGCTTGGCTAATTTAGGCATCTGGCGTTCCCCGCCTACTTAGAAAAGAAGCGGAACAGCGGCCAGCTCAACGTCGTCACCAAGCGGGAAATCATGCCGAAATGTGTCCTTGAACACGTGCGAGATCTTTACCCGAACCCAGCCGGGATTCGCCACAATTCCTAATTAATTTATGAAAAAAACTATAAAAAGGGGTAGGCTTAAACAATATGTCAATTTTTGAATATAGTCATGCGGACTGACTGTCCATAAGTACAGAGAGAAATGCAGTAGAAATGCAGAGCTCTATTGTGTTCTTTATGTCCATACTTGTCTTTCGTGCTGTACTCCAATTAAAATAAATTCCGCAGTATCTGTAAATTATGCCTGGTTATGTTGTCTCTAAAAGAAAAGCAATCAAGCAAGTTGGGTATTGTGCCACCAATTTGTGCATATACAATTTTATGTGGAATTCAACGTCAAAACAGTACTTGCGCGAAAAATAATGCATCCATTGTTCTTCGCCTTCCTGAAGCTATGAACTACCAATCACAGCTACAGGAATTTTGGGTCCACAAAATATCACGCTCAGTAGAAAATTCGCCCTTTCTACCAAAACTACTGGAAGCTATTTATTTTTCAAATGGGTCGGGTGGTGACGCGTGTTTGAGAGTAGGACTGTTGACTGGGCACTGGTTTGTGCTAAGGGTGCAGTGCTTCCTTTCATGCTGCCTGCGACGAGTGTTGAAATTTGAATATAGTAGTAGAAATAAAATCAACTGACACTCTTAGAATGAACCGAAATGAACTACAGCAAAACGCTCTACACCGAAAAGTGCTAGACCCACTACGAATGGGATCCTCAGTCACCTCTGCCGGTTTACGAACCATAATGATTCAGAACCACTGGTCTATGGAGCGCCATCCCTCAGAAAACGCCGCTCGTACTTCCCGTTGTTGCCATGAATCCGCCTAAACAACGAAAGATGCCAAATCAGATATTTATATTAAAATTGATACTTCAATGACTACTTCTTTGAGCACAACAAGGTATTTGTGCTCTCACAACCAGCAAGAATAGTCCTCCAAACCAATGCTAAAAAAGAGCCAATGCAACTCGTTGCGAAGAGCAAGTGCGAAGCTCGCTCAAAACAGCTACTCGGTTGGTTCAGCTCCTTGTCGCAGGTGTGCCGGCTGGCCTCTGGATAATCTTTTGAAATCCTCGAAGCTTTCATTTTTTCCACCCCAAACTTGTCAAATAAAAAAGAAGAACCAGGTAGCCAACAAAAAAAAACAAAAAACAACAACAAAATCGGAAAATGGCGAGGAGGAAACGAGAGGCGATTTCCTCCTTCCAGAGGGGCGAGAAGGAAAGTGAGGGTCAGGTTCCTTCCCTCTGCTTGCGGGCCGGCCTTTAAGGCGTCCGGTCACCCTCACGCAGTATTAATAGAGGTTATGGGGCCTTTGTTGAAGAAAGTCAAAGGGGCAGCAGAAAAAATATACAAAAGAAGCGCCCAGTCGTTGTACCGTACCTGCATAAACTGTCTCACAATTTGAAGCAGATCGCCAGCAGGTATGATGTCCCCGTGGTGTTTTCGGCCCCCCTAAGGTTATCCAAGATCTGCGCCAAAGTGGGGTCCGTCCTTGACAACCGTTCACGAGCCGTATGCCGCAAGAGGCACAAGAACAAGTTCGTTAGCTGCACGGACGGTGTGGTCTACAAGATCCCTCTGACCTGTGGTAGATGCTATATAGGACAGACTGAGCGATGTGTCAACGACCGCCTTAGAGAACATTTTTATTCACTTCAAACCACGGTAGGCGGACACCTGCCTACACACTGTCGCTCCTGCCAGTGCTCACCGACTTTTGCTGAAACAACTGTCTTTGGAAGATTTCAAGACCGGACTACTCGAGAGATCTACGAGGCTTTTGAAATTCAAAAACTAGGACAGCAATGCGTCAGCCAACCGTCCCTGTCGCTGAGTGCTAAGGAGGTCTCTTTTTTAGCCAACGCCTAAGCACAGTAACTCTGGCCGGCCAAGGGTGAAAGTACAGTTTTCTAATTTTCTAATTTCTTCCTTTTCTTCTTCTTTGTTTTCTTTGTTTCTTTTAACCTGTACATATTTTTTCCTTTTCTTCTTCGTTTCTTTTATCTTATCTTCACTTCACGTGGGCTTAAATTTTCGTGGCTTCTTTTTCCTTCTTTTCACTTCTTTCTAAATAAATTAGTTGGGAGTCAGCGCTCTTTCGTTCTACTGTCCTTTTCTCTTCCGCTGACTTTTTGTGCGCTGTTTAAAATCAGTGTATCTCTGTATCAATTTTGTTCGCGGCTTGAGCTTTAAAAGTTTTCTCTTTCCTAGATTTTTTCTTTTTTTTTTGGGGGGGGGGGGGGGGGGGAAGGCGGAGGGACGGGCGAGAAGGCGGTTGTGTTTGCACGTTTTTGGAAGCCTTCCAGGGGGGGGAAAGTTTGATATAGCCAATATGTTGATCATTATGAAAAGTACTTTTTACATGCATTTTTATTTAAAATTTCCGAGAGTTCGACATCGCCAGTAATTCGCTGTACGTGGGTTCGTTCTAAACGGGTTTCACTGTAGTGCGGATTTTCACGACTCCCGCGACATACATTATATGCGGTCTACACTGTAATAAGGTCCAAAGATGTAGAGACCGAGCTAACGTGCAATGCTTTCTATAGCCCTGTACATACAATAGCAGGGATCCCACCTATACATCGAATTAATTATCCGAATAAAGCAACTTCATATTGCGGAGGGTCTAGGTTGCTATTAAAAACTTCAATCGCGTCGAGCGGAAGAATTAAATGCAAAGGTATCAATTTCCATTTAAATGCAATTAAATGCAAAGCTGCAAGCGAGCTGGACAAGGATGACGGTCGCGCACCAGTCACCTAGCTGTGTTTGCAGATTTGTGCTTGTCCCTCTTGTTCCCCTTCTCCAGGGATTATTTTCGTCATCAATTTCCACGTATATTGGTGCAGTCCCACAGGTGGCTCTCACCTGGCAAACAGGAGCCTGGACTGGACTATGAACTTGAAGACGTGCTCGAGCGAGCGGAAGCAGTGCTGGATGGCGGCGTGCTCCTCCGTGTCGCAGATCAGCTCCGCGCAGTGGGCCACGCAGCTCAGCAAACCCCTGGACGTGCACCAGGCACCCATCAGGTGGCGGCCAGAAGGCTGCGTGGACTACACACTCGCTCAGCCCAAGGAGGGCTCGACATGTGCCAATCAAAACTTGTTGCGACCTCCTCTGGAGACGGCATCCCCAAGATCGTGCTACGTCATAAAAACTGCCTAAATGTGTGCGGTGACTGTGTGACAAGTAGGTGGGTAAATCAGTGTTGCGGAATGGGCACCCCCATTCCATTCCAATTCCATTCCGGGGAATTAGAGTTTTCGATAATTCAATTTCTTTCAATTCCTAGGAATGGAGACACTGAGCCCATTCCCACTCCTGGAATGGCTAAATCGTTCCATTCCATTCCTTTAATTCCTAAACGTAAAAATTTTGCACTTGACAGCTACATTTTGTTGCTGGCATAAGCAGCATAAAGCTGACATTATCAAATGCAGAGGCAATTTCAAAAAAAGAAAAAAAAAAGCTAAATTCCTCAAAAAAGCACTGATTTTTACTAAGCAGACCGCTGGTGGCAGAAAGCGTTTATTTACAATGTACTGGAAACATCGAGAAAGCCCCTTGATATGTCAATGCTTGTTTAAGGGGGGACATGGGTCTTTGGAGCCAAAAACTTCCTAAAACTGCATTCATTTGAAAAGGGCGATGGCTGTTGTTCTTCTGAATCTACCAGGCTTATAATTTCGTGAACGAATATTTGAGCTATTAGTCAATTTATAATATCTATGTGGGCTGCATGTGCATTGAAGTTGACTCTAAAACATTGTTTTCACAAAACACAATTTTTGGACTCATTGAAAATTTACAGGAGGGATATCTCAGCATCTGGAGCAGATAGAAATTTAACCATTCCTGAAATGTGTAGCTGAACGTGTGAAGCATACAATGTTGAGAGCAGATTTTTTTAATATAAGTCTAGAAAAATTTCTATTTGATCTTTTGCTACATTACTTGTTAGACATGCATTGAGCACTGAAGTTCAATGTGTGGTAAAATCACTAATAATGAGTTTATCTTAAAAGTGCTTCCAACATTGTATTCTCTACACTTCATAGTATCTAGCCATGTGTTAAAAAGAATATTTTGTTGAGCAGTTTTTTTCTATCTTTTTTCCAAACAAAGGCAGGCAAGTTTTAATTATTTTGAGTACAATGCTACTGACTGAGAAAATGACCAGATATATGAAATCTGCAGAAAAAGCTGAACAAGCTTGTGCAGTTTCATTAAGTTTGGTCATAAAATAAGAAAAAAAGCTCCAAGACCAGTGTTCCCCCTTAAGACATCGGTCTCGCGACCACGTCGCTCGCAACAAACAGCACAACTTAAATCCACTCATTTTCTTTTCTTTTTTTAACTTTTTTTGCATTTGACTTTTAAGACTTACGCGGCCAGTGTGTTTGTTTGATAAGACCATAAAATATCCAGTTCGTGCGTGGTGCAGGAATAAGCTATATTACTGTATTCTTCAAATACAGCAACACGGCTAGTACACTGCTGGAAGCGACTCCATGCACAGCGGCAGAACACATCCTCTGACAAAATGCAACCTCTGTGGCGCAGCACGAGGGACCATATAGACCATGTCACGAAACCTGTTTTAAAACGCATAAGTTCACGCTTGCTTTACGAATCTCGATATTTCTTATCATATTCAATTCAATTTTTGGCTGGTTCCCCTGCCCTTTTCCGCCCTTCGCATACTCATTCTCGTGTTTCCTCTTCAGATGGCGAATAAAGTTCGATGATATATGCCGATTGCACCGTTTATAGTTTCGTTGCACAACTTTCAGCGTGCAGCTTGTTTATTTTCTTCGCGACTAATGTAGAAAAATGTCTTCTACGATGCCATGACTCAATCTGTATTTATCTTGTCTTCTCGTCCGAATTGTGATGTTCCTCTTCGCGCTGATCGAGTGGCGGGTTCAGGCAGCAGACGGTACCAACCGATTCATTCTTCTACCTCGGTGTCGGTTGTTCGCGTAGTGGCGACGGGTCGGGAAGTCAGCGTTGACAAAGCTCTTCACATCAAGATACAATTAACGGGGTAATACCGCACCGTTCGAATTGACATTCCCCGTGTTTCTTCAGCAACACCGTCCAACTGACTTCTCACCGCCTCAAATAGGGTCCAGGACAAGGAGCACGAATGCAGACCGGACAGCTGAGACGCGCGGAAGCCAAAACCTCAGTGGCAGTTAGCACCAAGCTCTCCTTCTCAGTTGCCCTCCCAGCAACGGTTGCACCCCATCTGACGCGGGACGGTCTTTCTACAGGTCTAGTCAGTTCGGTCACACCAAGAGCGGCGACGATAGTCTACTTCACCTTACGATGGACCTCAACAGAGAGCAGGAGAGCCATCGAAACCAATCCAGTGCTTTCTGAGTGCTGCGTCACCCTGCAGTTCCGCTCACGGTACTGGATTGCCTAGGGTGACTCGTAGCGTCCGCAGCGGTCCATCGCAAGGTGAAACAAAGTATGCAGAGACTAAAGTCAAGGGAAATGAGCGGGAATCTGCTAGCTTGCTTGTAACCCCAACCCACTAAAACATAAAGCACAGAAAACAAGCATCGGAACAAAGACCAAGTAATAGGCGGACATACAATACAAATGCAGTACAAAAAAACAAGCCTCGCAGCGAAGCGCAAGAGGAGAAGAGGGAAGTGAATCTCGCTTTGATTTTAATGCCGACATTTCCCACATGCCGACAAGCCCACATTTCGCACTACAAAAGAGTGCGCACGAATGAACATGGAAGGCAACAGGGTTGGCTGCCTGCTAAACAACGCGCCTCGAACTATAAGAAAACAATACCTGATCATCTTTCGACGGTGCCCAAGTCAACGAGTTATCAGAGCTCTGCGAGTTATGAGTCGCTTCCGCTCCCAGATCTCAGTCTGTGCGGGCACGTGCATTCTACAAGCCGTCGCAACAACAACAAAAAAAGCATGACAAGAAGTACGATGAGGAGTTGTGCACGGCGGTTTCTTTTTTTGCCGCTCCCTTTTCTTTTGCTTGGTGCTCGGTTTCTTGTTTCGCTCTCGTGTAACACTATCGAAGCCCGACGCCTGCGCGTCCGTGAAAGGCGCCACGTTACCCCCCTTTCCCCATTTGCTGCTTGTTTTTTTGTATTGCATTTTGTTGGCGTATAAGTCTGTTAGGGCTCCTCGCGGGCTAGCAGTTTCCCGCTCATTTTATTTCTGAGCAACTGACTGGCTCAATTTAGCTAACCGTAAACACTAAAAAAAAAAAAAAAAGAGGAACCGTGCTCTATTCCATTCCCATCCTATTCCGGGCAAAAGGCACCTAATTCCATTCCCATTCCATTCCCTTCAACGTTGCCGCCATTCCATTCCATTCCGGGGTCGTGAAAATGCGGAATGATTCCGGAATCATTCCAACTCCGGAGTGGCAACCCCGCAACACTGATGTAAATACACTCTGCGTACGAAATATTTTTTATCGCTGCTCTTTGCTTTACCCGGCTCACCGAAAATTGTGAGAAAAAAAGCCTCCTCCTTTCGTGCGCATAATGTCTAAACGTGGGAAGTGTTCCCAGCTTGGCAGAAAGTGAGGCTCACTTGTAGACGAGTGCTGCAGCAAAGTGGCTGGTGATGTAGGCGTCCATGACTGGCTTGAAGTGCTCAAACTTGGGGCTCTCCAGCAAGCTCAGGATATAAACCTGAAAAATGACACACTCAGACTTCCTCTCGCAAAAAACATTTGATTACCCAGATGAGCGCTAAGCATTGGACAAACGCTGCAGAAGAGACATTCCTTTTTGTAGCGGCTATTGAAAGTAGTGAAGCAGGCTCAGATTACAAGATTACCAGCTCGTCCATTTAGAGAAAAAAAAAGTGACTCGAAGCTTTCAGGAAAAGGGTTACATTGTGAGTGTGACGGTCGTCCATTACGGGGCTCCTCGAGCTAGCCTTCCTCGAACGGCAGCCGAGAAACCCTTGGCAGTCTCGGAGGCACTAAAGCAGTGCAGAAGCTTACCGACATTGCAAGCGGGAATGCAGAAAATGGGAACTGTCTAGCCCAGTGGTCTCAAACTCATTTGTGTGTGGGGGCCAGATAGCCCACACCGGAAAGGCCGAGCGCCAACGTACAACGGGGGGGGGGGGGGTGTTAGAAGATTTTAATGAGAAGAGACCTCGTGCCCTATTCTTTTGTTAAGCTCATAGTTTTGCCAGTGACATCTTTAAATTTGATTTGTTTACATGACTACTTTGGGCCCTTACCTGATGTTATAGCAGAAATTAAAATTCCACTGCCCCGCAACGTGCTGGCATCTTTAAGAGAACAAGGGAGCCAATAATCTGTCATTCCCTTTGCTCAACATGTCTTTAAAAAAAACAATTTAATTTGACAGTTCCTGAATTCCTCACAAAATGTTTATTATAACATTGTGAACAAATACTCGTTTTTTAATTGTGATATTTTTTTGAAGGGGAGAATCCAGAGCTCATAGCTTTATCTTTCGGACTTGCTCCTAAGCGAGAGTTTGCGCGGCCGGCATGCATCCTTCAACAAACAGCTCGAGGTTACAGAATGGTAGCGGAATTTTCGTACATTACCGAAAGGGAAGCAAAATAATAAAGGGAAACAAAGGGCAAATGAACACAGAGAAGTATAAGATGAGTGCATACGTTAAAAGAGCAGGAGGTACTTTTCGAGTGAAAATGAATTGACGAGATGAGATCACTATGGCACATGTCGTTTCTAGCGCTCGAGACATGGAAACCGGAACTCGCAGCCGGTCTTCTGCGAGCCGCGTCCCAACGAGCCGCGGGCCGCGTGTTTGAGACCCCTGGTCTAGCCTATAGATATTCAGCAATGAGTGGTTCCGATCTGCCAAGGCAGTGCTTAAACTGAAAATACACACACTTAGGGGCAGGAATGGTAAAAAAAATTTGAGAGCTCCGGAATGGTGGTGCAAGACTATCGATAGCGGAAGATAAATCTAACTATCAATAGATAAAAACAACAGTGAACAACAACAGTAAACTATCAAAAAACTATCGTTAGTACAGTGAAACTCGTTTAGAACGAACCCACGTATAGCGAATTATTGTTGATATCGAACTCACGGAAAATTTAAATAAAACTGCATGTAAACAAGTACTTTTATAACGAACGACATATTGGCTATATCGAACTCCCTTCCCCCCCCCCCCCCCTGTAAGACTTTTAAATGCGCGCAAACAATCGTTTTCTAGCCTGCCCCCCCCCCCCCTATAAAAAAAAAGTAGGAAAGAAAGAAAATTTCAAAAGCTCCAGCCGGGAACAAAATTGAGCGAAGAGAAGCGATTCAGAAGGGAAGAAAGCTAAAAAAAAACACTGCACGGACGCACAGAAAAAAAACTATTCAACCCAAAGCGGTTGCCCACGAAGAGAAGCGATTCAGAAGGGGAGATAAGCTAAAAAAAAATAATTCTGCGCGCATGCAAGAAAAAAGAATAAAAAAATGGCGTTTTGTTACAAGGTGGAAGCGAAGAGATGAGAAAGAAAGAGAAGCTCTTGCCTTACAACGAACGGATCGGGGAAGTTTGTTGTAAATGGTTTTCGCTATATCAAACTACTTGCTATATCGAAATGATGGTAGCGTTTTCTGCTGTTCGTTATAAACGGGTTTGACTGTTTGCTATCAATAGTGAACTCTCCTAAAACTAATTAAGTGTGAATAGATTTTGGTAGATGTGACATTCAACACTCAACTAAAATGCCCCTACATGTCCCTCGCCGTCCCCTTCCTGTGTTTTATTTTCATTTTCGCACTGCCCGGTAGCTTTCGGAAAGTTGACTCGTATTGGTAGTCAATCGAGTGACAATATTCAACGGTCAACAATTGATAGTCAACTGTCGATAGTGGCCAACAAATATTTCACTCAATAATACTATTGATAGTCGATTGAGCATAAATAATCAACAGTCGACCAACAACTATCGATAACATTGTAAAACCCGAGACGTAGGACAAAAGGAGAACAGAAAAGGGACAACACAGACACAGGTCTGTGTTGTCCCTTTTTTCCTCTGTCCTACGTCTCAGGTTTTACAATGTTGAAAGTTCACCATTTCGCTTGCGTCTTCTCTGTACTTTCTAAACTATCGATAGTTGCATATAGATATTTGACTCAATATTACTAGTCTACGGTCGTCTATAGTTTTTCAATACTGCAATAAAATGCTTAGGTGGGCCAGTAGGTACATCATGGGAAATAAGTGCCAAAGGAACAGGGACCAAGAGTAGAATAATAACGACACAGGGCGCACTCTCAACTGAATTTATTAGGAAAAAGCAAACTGGTATACCAACGGGAGCAGACCATCAGACACCACACGTCACGTTAGTCCCTGCCCAGCCCACGTTTCAAATATTCAAACTCATCCATAGACAGAGCCAGAGAAGTATCGCTGAGGCATTTTTCACCCCTACTCCTAATCTCAAATGCCTCATGAAGCTCGCGTGACACTTGGTTTTTGTACTTGGCCAAAATTTTAGTGCTGTCAAATGACGGGGCGCAAGAGCATCTGTTGCAATGTTCAGCCAAATGCCCCGAAGGTGTGGTTCTAGTTGAAGTGGCGTGCTCGCGGACCCGATCCTTGACACATCTTCCAGTCTGTCCTACATAGCTTAAACCACACGTCATTGGGATATCGTAAACGACGGTGGTTGTGCAATCAGCGTATTTATTCCTATGCTTGGTATTGCACGGGTCTGCTGTCGGCAGGGGGTCATTGATTCTCCTGCATAATTGCGACATTTTGTCAGGCGCTGAAAATACGACCGGGACATGGTAGCGCCCAGCCATTTTCTTAAGATTATGTGAGACACTGCACATATATGGGATCACCACAGGCCGCATGTTGCTCTTTTCGCCCGATGGTTTCTGCGTCCCCTTGAACTTCTTTATCAAGCTCCCAGCCACTTGGACCCATGAGCTTGTTGGGAAACCCCCTTTTCGCAGACGATCTACTTGTCTCACAAAACTATCCTGGGCGCTATGCAGGCAAGGCTTTCTGAGAGAAGCCTCCATACACGAGCTCGCAATGCGTCTCTTCACGAGCTGGGAGTGGCAGGAATCAAAGGGAAGGACCCCCTTCTGAGATCTCAAAAATATGCTCACCTAGGAAACTGAGCTTGAGGTCAAGGAATTGCATATTTCCGTCTTTGAGTGCCTCGCGAGGAAATGACAAACCATGGCAGCAAGAATTGAATACCTTTAGCGTCTCTGTAACTTCACAGCTAGAGAGATTGGGATTACGTCCGAGGATGAGAAAATCATCTAAATACCTTGTATTTGCCATCACTCATCTCCGAGCTATCCGCTATCGCCTTTCCGCACTTACTTAAAAAGATATTGCCCAAAATCGGTGCGACATTGGCACCAATGCAAATCTTTTGTAAATAAACACCCCCCTCAAACGTCACGAACATGCTTTTTAAATAAAAAGACAGGAGCTCAAGGAAACCCTCTACATTCATAACAGAGTAGCTCTGGAAAGCCGCAACCTCACTCAGGTCGATGCAATCTCTTACCGCAAGGTAGAGGGGCTCGTCAGGGATGGAACAAAACAAATCCCGGACATCTACCGAGAAACCACTGCGCATACCATGGCGAGCGTTGTTCAATGACACACTCCGAGTTTCTTGCGGCAATCGGGTCGTCCAGTTTTAACCCAGGAAAATGACTGCAGTCCCCCATCTGTGACTGCCAGGTGCCTCTCTCTGTCGCCCTGAAGGGGCACTCAGGTTCATGAGTCTCAGCGGCGAAAAATGTGTCCAAGGTTAGTTTCCTGCTGGCTCTCACATTTTTCAGGACCGTGGGCAGCTCCAAGGAGCGGCACAAATTCAGCGCGTGGTCCTTCGTTAGGGCACCAGGGTTCACCAGCATCAAGTTTCTGTCGATGGCCTGTCTCGTCCTGGTACTATACATACGCTAAAATTCTGGCCAAGTACGAAAACCAAGTGTCACGCGAGCTTCATGAGGCATTTGAGATTAGGAGTAGGGGTGAAAAATGCCTCAGCGATACTTCTCTGGCTCTGTCTATGGATGAGTTTGAATATTTGAAACGTGGGCTGGGCAGGGACTAACGTGACGTGTGGTGTCTGATGGTCTCCTCCCGTTGGTATACCAGTTTGCTTTTTCCTAATAAATTCAGTTGAGAGTGCGCCCTGTGTCGTTGTTATTCTACTCTTGGTCCCTGTTCCTTTGGCGCTTATTTCCCATTTTCGATACTGTAGAGAGTCTTTCTATGCTACGAGTAGTTTTGGACAAACTCTCTATAGTATTGGTACGGTAATATGTCCCGAATTATCACCCACACCACTTTTGGACAAAATGGAAATTTGCAAAAGAAAACACAGAGTGATTGTCCACCCCTCCATACACCCCAAAGCCACCCCGCAATCATCCATGTTACCCGGAGGTCGTGACTGCGGACCATAGAGTCAGAGGATATCCATGCCGAAGCAAAGAAGAGGAACTTTTCTTCATTTAAGGATATCCTCCTCGATTTCTGTGACCCCAAGGGAGGAGCGTGCGAAAGGAAAACGACTGGGACAACAAAATAAAGCTTTGTTTTGTTTACAAAAAATCCAAGTCGGTTAGGACAAAATAAAATATTGAAGATAACACAAGCAGTAATCCACCCAGGGGCCGCGAGGTCAACAAACACCCAGTACCCAGGAATGCGACCGCAGAATGTAAAGTAAAAAATGCTTTCTTTTGTTCATAACTGAAAGTATTTCTGTCCAGTCCATCTCCACTAAAATAAAGTCAGCCCGAATACCCCGTCCTTCTCCCGAAACGTCACGACAGAGGTTGGTAAGGTCGTGCGATGTTTGGGAAAAAGGCAGTGGGTAAATATTTCCTGGGACACCGCACACAAACGTCTGTCAATCATTTCGTTTCGAGCTCTGCGTCATCGTGGCGTCATCCATGTCACGCAGCAATGCCCCCTCAACCAGTATTGAAAGTATGCCACGCGCAGACGCAAGGGGGTATGCACCAAACAAGAAAGTTGCACCAGAGCCTGCTCCTTGTGGTTGACAAGGAGCCTGTTTTGGCTTGACGCCAAACTATTTGTCAATGCAATCGCTGGGTTTCCCTTTCCCGATTCTCCAGCATCACTTTTCATCGCTTCTTTTGCCCCCTCGCTTGCTCCTCACCCCTGGTTGTGTTTTGAGGTCACCTCTTTTTTTATTTTCTTTATTTTTGAATCTACAGATACTACTGACAAAAAACAATCTTGTTTTGGAAAGGTGTTTTCACACTGTATGAGTATGAAAGGATGCCGTAATGTTCATCGTGAATATGCAAGCAACACACTTTGTGATAGTAGAACATTTTTTTACTGTATCTCCTGTTCGGCCACGCCAGATGCGTACAGAAAAATAAGCGTTTTCTTGGCGTCTTGTTCACTTTTTGGGGCTTACCCGCAAAGGAACGCACACCCCACCTTTTCAGGTAATTTCAGGATGATTCGAGGGTTTTGTACCACTACCCAGGAACCTTGAGGAACTGGGTTCCTAGGAGCCCAGTTTCAGGACCTAGAACACACTATATGGCGACTTAATTAAGAGCCGTCGACAGTCAGCTGCAGGCGTCGGCACCTACCAGGGTCTTGAAGACGAGTCCCGAGCAGGCGGTCGAGTTCCCGTCCCCCGTCGAGAACATGGAGAACAGGGCGTCCAGAATGTCCTGCAGGAACTGGGGGGGGCTTCCACTCAACGCCCCGCAAAGAACAAGACACCAACTCACGCTTAGATGTTCCCTCTTTACGACGGAAACAACGCCGCCGAATCAAACCCGTCGTAAACGTAATGCGTGCAACCGCAGAAATGGGGGAAATGCATTCTGCCACGAAACAACCAGTCCGAGTTTGGAATGTGTAATAAGTCAATTATTTGAAGCGGAAAAAAACGGGCTTTAAAAATTTAGTCCGCAAACGAGACGCCAAAGCTTTTACGGGGGTACATTTCCTATGTGTCTTGCAGGGTGAAGCAATTAGCCTTCTCGGTTAAAGGTATTTACTGAAGAACCCACGTTGGTGTACCCATATTAAATAGTAATCGGTGGAGAAAGAGTTGCAGCGGTGCCCCGCCCCCACCAACGAAGAAGATGCTATCGCTCGAAAATCGCCCGGTGGGTGAAAGAGTACAGGACGCTTTCACTTCAGCCCCACGTCGGTTGCAACATTCATTTCATCCATCTCGACGTAAACATTCAATGCCCCTACACTAGACGCAGAATATTCCGTATGTTATTTGACGTTCATTTCTTTCCTGACTGTATTAAATGGGTAGCATTTATAGGGCCATTTATACTAAGGCATCAACAGAGAACAATATCAGTCGTAAACCAACACTCCTTTGCCCGAGTCTTTTGAAGAACTGCTTGTTTTCAATAAGCTTCACGAGCCCTTTCTTTCTCCCTAATCTCGACTTTCATCTTTACGCATCACGTAAGCAAATGGGAGAAAGTGTAGCAGCCAAGTAGAACGGCGAACGGCATGACGCCACTCGCCGTTCCCCCTCAATTCACGCCTAAAACACGGAGCACCTGAAAAGAGCACCCACTGCGTCTGTAAGGGGCAGGAGGTTTCTTTTCACGACTTGTGCAGTGGGATGCGTATGCGAGTCCAGTCCTCCTTTTGTTTTTATGCAAACTCTAGTGGGGGTTCACCGCCAATGTGGTCCACACACAGTCCTGTAGACACAGTCAAAGGCAAGTAGGAGGCAACAAGATGGGTTTCCAAAGCATAAGCCTAGGAAGAGGGCACGGAAGGTCCAAGTCCAGCTTGTGCAATGCAATCCATGACTATGTTTTTCCTTTACTATTTCTACTTGGGTGCTTCATCTTATGATCTAGTACATTGTCTTTATCTTTTGGTAATTTCGTTTCAAGCGACTGCACGTTTTAGTCAAGCCCATACTTGGCCAGTATGCTCGAAATGCTGATTTCCCAAAATGCATCACTTTCCCCCAACTCTTCCATTTAACGGTGAAAAAAGAACTGTCGATATATATGACCATACGTAAAATATAACTAGAACAGGCGTTTGTGAAACCACGCATATTAAAATAATGTGCTTACAAACTTGGACGAAAAAACTATCCCAAAAGACAGCTTGCCGAACTAGCGAGAAGCAATGACACTCGTGAAAATGTACCTTGACAATTTCTTCGCCGTCCAGCTTGATGACGTTGTTGAGGGCGTTTTCAATTCTGTCGGGATGCACTTTCCACTTGAGCAGTGACAAAAGGGCACCTGGTGCAGCGGCGACAAAAGCAACCAAACGTTGTGCACCTGCGTCCCCTTGCATCCAGAGTCACTCCCACTGAGACAAACCCAATGCTCTAACGGCGGCACAAAAAAGGCTTCCCCGTAGCTCCAAAACATCTATGAGAGCCTAAAGCACGGAGCGGAAAATGCCTTCCCAGAAATTGGAACCCAGTACAACAGCCCTTTGATCCATCCAATTCAGGGTTCGTATCGTAGCGGACAGCCTTGCTTTTCTGCCGTCGCCGCTACGGCAGAAATTATCGGGCTTCTCCCACTGACACTGCCTGGATGCAACTCTACAAATGCTCTAGTCGGGTGCCAAGTGCCGCAAAAGTATAGGCTTAGAAAAATCTTTTCAGAATGACGCTTTACGCAACAACAAATTATAAGTGGAATAACCTATGAAAAGAATCGAAACAGGTCTAACATAGGTAAAGACTCGCGAAAAACGCGAGACCGAGTGCGACGGGGCACCACAAAACACATTATGGTAAGGAGTCGACGAGTCTGGCCGACTTGTTACTAAATAAGACGAAAAACGAGAAAGCCTTCCCATGTAAGATATTTTATTCATTCATTCCTATACCTCGAGCACCCGTTTACGGCTATTACGCGGGGGAGGGTTTAAATACAATTCAATAATTATGTAAAAACATACACAAAACAGTAAGATCAAAACAAGTATAGGCGTACAATTGAGACAATAACAGAATTACAGTTCTTATTACAATGTTAATTACTACGACTAATAAAAAGAGTGAGCATTTCTCGAAATTTAGCGGCGATAGTTCCATTCGGCAATTGTGAACAATAGCGTTAAATTTGTGAAAAAAGAAAATGTAACACGAATGAATTTGATTTTGCACACATTGCGAACTCCGGCGGCAAGTCGGTTGGGCGTGTTGAGAAGGAACCCTTTCATCTGCCGTTTGTGATGACACTACAAAGTCCCAAGTGGAGTTCTGAAGGATCGAGAGAGAGATGGGACAGCCTCACCGTTCTGGGTGAGCTTGGTGGAGCAGAGCAGGGTGGTGACGTGCAGCGCCTCCCGGGGACTCCGGCCCGCCCCGGCGCCCTGCGAGCCAGGCACCAGCCCGTCGCCCGAGCGGGGCCCCGTGGCCAGGCCCCGGTACTGGGCCGCCTCCAGGGCCTTCTGCCAGCTGTCGTCTGCCTGCACACCCGGACCTCTACGGCTCAAGCGGGGAGCGCTGCTGCAGCTCCACTCGTCTCGTGACAATTACGGGGCTTCTCTCGGAAACATTTCTGCCAAAGTTTGTTAACCTGGGTCAAGTACAAAAGAAAACTGCAACTGTTCAAAGATGATAGTCTGCAGAGGAAAACTATCGTTTTGAAATTACTCGTAAATTTGTCGGTTTCACGCGTTATATTTCTTTAGGACAGTTCAGAGCAGATAGAGGTGAAGCTACATTTCTATATCATACCATCTTTCGTGACGAAAAAACCCACATGAACAGAAGTACTGTTTTAGATTTCCGTCCTCTATCCAAAATTTCAACTCTTGAACATGAAAAATGACAAACATAAAAAATACAAGCTCATAGCTATCTTCACCTTAAAATTGCCAAAAAACGCATAAAAATGAATTCACGCTGCGTAATAACAAAATGATAGTTTTCCTAAAGGGAAATTTATGCGAAAAAGTGCAATGGAGAAAAATGCGTTCAAAGTGCTCCAACCTCTACCTTTTCTTTAGCATCGATGGACCGAAAATAATTTATAAAAAAATAACTATGCCGCGTAAATTAATGAAACTTTCTTGAAATACACTCTAGATGTTGGTAAATGTAAAAATTACATTTTTCATTATTAACTTTCTTTTAAGAAATTGTTTTTTCTGGGTAGTGTCCCCGCCTAAAATACTTGGACTTTACTCTTTCCAGCATGCTCTTTATTATATCTTTCAACTCAAAATAGCTTTGGAGAAAACGGCTAGGCATGTGCAAATAGTGCATTTCGAGTTTGAAGCAAATTCAAAGTGAATAGTGATTTTGGCCTTCGCAGCTAATATCAAATAGTTTTTCCGAGTCTTTAGTTACAGCACCATTCCTGAACGAAAACCCAGCTGAACTTGTAAAGGTAGTTCCCAAGCTCCCACTTGTCCATTTCGAAGCTAAGGGAATTTTTAACCGACCGTAGTACACCCGGCATCCGCCCAATCCACAAAAAGCACCTATTCCCGAATTTGTAAGATCCGAGAAAATACGCACGCTACATTGATATGTAAAACTGATGACCGGACAGGCGCCCATCCCCCATTTTTTCGCTATCATCTCCACATTTTCAGTGGGCGCTTGCCCGGTATTTTACGGTAACTGTATTATTTGACTGTGGCCTCCGAAAAGTACAATGCTTAGATTTGGATGCCAACTTAACGACTCATTTACCATTAAATTAAACCCACAAAGATGCCCAGGGAGGGTATTTATAAATATTCCATGAAAATATATTTTCTTCAGTCAGGAATGATTAAAGTGGGTTGTCAGGGCATCTCTACTCTACCAAACAAAACATTACACTCGACAGATAAAAAAAAACAGTCCCTGAAGTCACATTTCATATTTTACTGATTCAACGTTTTCAAATTTTTCTTTATTCTTATATGGACGATCCGAATTCTTGCTGTAGTATTTTTCTTACGTGACCTTGTTTTATGGTTTGTGAGTATCGTTTTTTGTGCATCATGATGTCTGCAATTTCATCACCTGGTGCGTTACCTGACTAGGTATGTATGTGCGTATGTATGGCGGGTTGCATGTATAGTGTGTTACGGTATTCATGCTTCACCAGTTATATCTGTGTTATCATTACTTTATTATTACTTGACCCGGTATATATTTTGTTTGTTTTATGTCCGCATTATTGTTACTCCACCTCTTTGTTGGTTAGAATTGAAATGTTCTGTTACGGTTTGAGTGATTATTTAGTTTGAATTGTATCCTGTACTCTATGCCAAGTGTTAGGGGGCCTGTCAAGTTGCAACTGAAGATTGTTTCCCTGCTCTCCACACTCCTTTGGAGTGAAAATAAACGATTATATTATTATTATTATAACATAGGCTCAGGCGTAAGAGCCACTTTAATTCTGGAAATTTTATTGTAATGCAGTTTATTGTCACGTAAATTTATTTCAATCAGCATCTACAAAGGTTTCATTTTTCTTTAAATACACGTACCACAACCAAACCAAACGACAGCGAGCAGCACAGTGAGGTCTCGCGATATTTCTGAGTCGGTGATATTGGGGTTCTTTCCGAGTCCTCGACATTTCATGACATTTTGTGAGTCGGTGATATCGACGATATTTGTGAGTCCGTGATATTTCTCGAGTCCTCCCAGGGCAAAGCGTCTCTTTGGAAAGCCTGGCCTCCAGCGTGCGCTCGATGCCTTCTGGCGTGCTTTGGCTGCCCATGCACGAGATGCCCGGTCGTTATCCAAGCTAGGAAGCTTGAGGCGGGACAACCAAAGCTGCTCCCCGTCCTTCTCACTCTGCGACTACGATCCGTCTGCTCTTCCAGTCGTCATCACTGCTACAGTCTGGTCAGAAATCATTATCAAGGAGAGGAATGATGCAAAAAGATTAGTAAGGGAGACGGTGCGAGTAAAATCTCTAAGTAATTCCATAAGTCAGGCTTTGTGACAGTTCAATAAAAATTCCAAAAACTTTTTAAAAATATACTTTTCTTTTATGATTGGGATGTGTGTATTGAACACTCTTGCCCCATTTTAGGTTCAGTCAATGTGTGTCCTCCCTTCATCGCTGGCATAAAATTGTTTTTTGGGGGTTTTTTCTCCGAGAAGAGGGCAGTTTTTTTGCTTGTGAACCTTTGTCAGAATAGAGTAGGCACTGATCTTTCTCTTAAATTTTGGGGGAGATTGTAGATTTATCTTTGTGAATCGGCATGAAGGCCGTCCATAGTACTACTTTGTGTATAAAAAGGTTGGGCGTTTGAACTGGTTGGAGGTTGCCCCTTTGTCTTGGTGGTGGCTGATTGTGGGCTGTATAAGGAGGCAGACTAAATAAATCTGGTAGCTGAGTTTGAGATGTCGTCCTTTTCTGTTCCTTCGACTTATATGTTCATTTCTGCCCCAGTCTCAGGTTTATTCAACATGGTTATCACTGCTACGTTCCCAAAGCACGTCGACAGCGTTGTCCAACAAAATTTCACACTTCACAAATGACAAAATCAGCCACATCTCTTGCGCTTGCACTGTGATGCCGTTGCACGTCACCAGTAGAGACTGATCGCAACGAGCGGCGAAAACCTAAACTGCCCAGATCACGCATGTCAATGAAACATAGTTGGCACTACAGCACAGTCGCACAATCTCGACACTCGATCAAACAATGTGCGGCCATGCAACATGCGACCGGGACAAGGTTGCTCCGGGGTTTCAGCAGCCGTTCCGGAGTGGCTCTTATATCAAGTACTGCCACCCCCAGAAGTTGGGCGCACCACACCAGCTGTTCACTGCCGTGCATTAGGGCTGATTTACAAACGGCAATCAATGATACTCGTTCACGCAGATTAAAAAAAAATATGAAACTTGTAAAAATGAGCTTACACAAAATGGCGCAATGCTACAGGTACAGCCAGCTGAACTCACAAGCCGAGGTGTTCTTGATATTGGGAATGTTCTGTTTTTGTCGGCAGTGGAATGCTTTGGTTCAATTATAAGTCGACTTGCTTCCAGTCATGGGTAAGTTACTTTTAAAAAGTAATTCGTTACAGTTACTTTCAAAAAAAAGTAGCAAAGTTACCGTTACAGTTACCACAACAAAAAAATAACTCGTTACAGTTACTTTAAAAAAGTAACGACATTACTTTCAGTTACTTTTCTATAACAAAAAAAAATTAAGGAAAAACTAGTGTTTGAAAGAAAAAAATATACACACGAGTCAGTCGGGCTTCCACCATAGCGGTAAATTCAAACTTAATAATTTATCTGAAAAATTAGTCATTATTACGAAAAGAATAAAGACCAAAATTTAACTGGATCTGTTTTCTCAGATTTGGACACGTAGACTTGTTGTCGGAGTACTCCTTGTTGCAAAGTTTGCATACTGCGGTCAAATCGTTAACAACCACCTACACAACAGAAAAATACTCTCTGTACGTTGGCCATGCTAGTTCTTTGTCCTCATCAACATCCCTATCCTTGGTAGCACTAGCACATTGCTGGCTCGTTGACGGTTGCGCTGGGTTCATGGACTCCTTTGATATATTTCAACTCGTACCCGGCAAACCAGAAACAAGCCCTGCGCAAACAGCACTAAATTTTGCCTCCACTGTTGAAACTACGCCGGAGTAGTGGTGCAAATCAAAATACGAAACATACGATGTTCCCTCCGCGTGTATTGTTGTTTCGCGGTTGATTCACCCGACTAAAAAGCGTGCGCAGAAAAAAGAAAAACCGCAACAGAGATAGTGCTTCAGTATACTAAGATGTAAGTGTTCAGTCAGAAAGCACAAGCAAGTGCATAAAGATAACTACATTATCTTTTTTTTGTTTTTTCATCAAATCTACACGTGGCTATATTCGGATAGAGACTCGCGAGAAAGAATGTATTCTCAGGTTTGTGCAAGGCCAACTGACACTCGAAATGTCGGAACAGACAATTTGGAAAGTGCAAGGAATAGCTACATTATACTTGCTCAATGATATATTATTCACAAAGAACTGAAAAGTAACGACAAAAGTAGAATCGTTACTTTCATTGTTACCTTAGAAAAAGTAATAGAACTACAGTTACAACAAGCAATAGAACTACAGTCACTGATAACAAGGTGACTGACGTAATCGGCACGTTCACGTCCTGCTCTCATGGGTTAAAATTCACTCATGAGAGGACCACGGAGGGCTCGTTACAATTTTTGGATTTAAAACTAAAATTCTTAGATGACCATGTGTGCTGGGCTTACGAACCTCGCTCCAAGAAAGCTGTACTCCCTTTCAATTCTTCCCACTCCAAGTTAGTGAAAAGAGGTATTGCTTCTTCGTGCCTCGGAGCCGCTCTGAACAAATCCTGTCCTGAGGAGATGGGAAGGAGTTTTCTTCTACAGGTAGATCGGCTCGCAAGTGCGGGTTTTCCGCTAAGATCCATAGTTGAAGCTGCAGAGGGCCTCAAAAAAAAATTTAGGGGTGCGGAAAGAAACGTTCTTGAACGCCAAAAAGTAAGAACCGCTGTAATGCCTTACATTCACGCAGTGTCTCATAACTTAAAAAAGGTGGTGGAACGTTACGATGTTCCTGTCGTTTTTTCAGCCCCTAAAAAGCTTTCTGCGTTATGCAGGAAAATCAATGATCCCGAAGGGAAGAGTGACGAGTGTAAGAAAAAACACCAGAATAAGTTTGTAGAATATCACACTGGTGTTGTGTATGACATTCCGCTTTCTTGCGGTAGGTCTTACGTAGGCCAAACTGGGCGCTGTGTAAATGATCGCGCAAGAGAGCATGCTGCTTCCTTAAAACAGTCACCTTCGGGGCACCTGGCTGTGCATTGCAACCGATGTGAGTGCACACCAGTTTTCAATGACGTGGCAATCCTGGGGCAATACAGCAAAAAGATTACAAGGGAAATTCATGAGGCGTATGCAATAAGGAAGGGTGCAGATAAGTGCATAAGCGAGCCTTCAGTGACTCTGTCAGAAAAAGAGTGTCTATTCTTGGATAAAGAGTGGGCACGTGGAAAGTGACGTGGGTGTTTTTTAAAAGTGTATATAAGACTATGTTTTTCCATAAATAAATCTTCAGTTGCGAGTGCGCCTTGTGTCGTCGTCTTCTTACCTTGTCCTGGTCTTTCGGCGCTTGTCTTTTTCCATTATGAACCAACTGGCCCAACTCACCATTTTGTTCCATTTTGCTACAGTTACAAGTCACCGAAAAAGTAACGAAGTTACAGTAAGGCGTTAACGCGTTACTACCCCAAGACTGCCCGCTTCAGATTTTCAAATTAAAAAATGGGTTGACCTACAACCGTGTAATTATGGTACTTAGTGAGTCAGTGACATCCGTGATACTTGTAAGCCTGTGATATTTTGTGTTGTTTGTGAGTCTGAATTTGGTGATATCGATGATGTTGTTCAAAATGAAAGTTGGGGGTGATAAGAGGGGTCGTGACTTTTTCAACTTGATAAGCTTTGTGATACGAGTGGCAGCGATTTTTGGATCTTGACAAACTTTGGGATATGACTGGTGGTGACTTTTGGATCTTAAAATAATTTGTGATACAATTGAACCCGGATAAAATGGACTGAAAGGGGAACGTCAAATAGTGCGATATATCAATAATTTGATATACAAAAATATGTTAAATTAAGCTCGAGCTGAAATTCCCTGGCATCTCTGCTAATACCGAAGGTTGTGATAAACGAGAGCTTACCAAAGAGAGCATCCCAGAGCCGCTAAATACGGTAGAGCGTAGTTGGCGGAGGCCGCAAACACCGCTGCACTTGCACGCGCGCCTGGCCGGCGAAACATGGCCGTCCACGCCACTACGCCGCAGACGAAATATCGGAGCGGAAGAACAACATTCATGCTTTCGCATTCACAACTCATAAGAAGTGCTTAGGTGTCCTTGGACTTTGTTAGTGTTGCCAGTTGTGACTTTCAGTTTGAATAGGCAGTGAAGACCAAACTTTAAGGAGCAATGAAACCCCAAAAACTTTTTTTGTCTAAAACGATGCAAGTTGTAGTCGCAGACACGCAAAAAATACCACAATGCAAAAAAAGTCTTTGGAAGCGGGCGTGCATCTTTTTATTTTGCCGCCCTTCTTTCTTACTTCCCACCTCCTCGCTTCTTTTTATTTATGGCGTCAAAAATTATGAAATTTAGAAGCTTTATAAGCCACATTTCTTTAATATTTAATAATGGCATTCGAAAAACATGTTTTTTAACACAATTGCAAACACACCACGGCCCTTCTTTTTGAAATACCGAAAATCAAAGTCCAGAGTGATGCCGCCTTCTGGCTTTTTATCCTCCCTCGGAAAACATGGCGGCGCTCGACACATGTAGCGCTGACGATAATCATAGAGCCGCGGAATTAAACAAAGTTCTCTCGTTTAGGTACCCGACGACCTCTCAGACTTTGAAAAGAAAATCATCAAACAGTCAAAACAACTGGGTTTGGTGTTTGTGTACCGTAGTGTTGGTTGTGACTCCGCCGGGGCAGCCTTTCACGCAGAACCGGCGCAACGTGGCCCCTCATGTTGCTCACAAAAGTCCACTGCCTGTTCTTTTCCACCTCACACCGTGTGACAGAATTTGAGATCGCTGAAAGAGCCCTAAAGGAAGTTCAAACTCGAATTTGAAGCATCATCTGCTCACAGCAATAAGCGGCACACAAGCAGTTGATTGGGGAATACAAGCGAACACGACACTTTGGGTCGCGGCAGTTCGGATGCACGAGAGAAACTCGAGTTGCAGGACGAGTCAATATTTGACGTCACTGCACTGGCGCAGATCGCGCGGAACTTCAAATTCAGCTTTGGGAAATTGTTTTTTAAATTCATCAATACTGAGCTCCGAAGTTTCACATTTTGAGGGTAATGTCCAGGCATTTTTTTTTTCAATTGTTTCGGATAATAAAAAAAAATGATTTTGATCTGTCCCCCCAGTGCCCCTTTCAACCAATGCGAAACAAAATAATTTTGATTTATTATTTGGGTTACTACTTCAAACTACTGGTGCGTTGAGCTAATCTTGACGGAAATCCAGCAGAACTTTGCCGGAGCTCCCCTTTGAGCCTGTTATAGCAGGTCTATAGCAAGTACAGTCTATCTAGAGCTGCCATTACACAGCAGCCGACAGGCGGTTCAACAGCCAGTTCATGGACAATCCAACCGTTTTCCCAAACCGGTTGGATTGTCCTTTAGGAAGTGCTAAAGAGACAGTCAATCTTACTCTTTACCTTCTCACTTGGGATGGGCAGTACTCTCAATCCTTTGGTGCAAGAGCTTCGCCCGTACAACAAAACACGACGACTCTAGAAAAGGCCTACCTTGTAGACGTAGAGCTCGTGGCTGCCGTTGCGGATGATGGTGCCCTGCTCGTCCATCAGCGGGAGGAACGAGAACCCCAGGAGGCGGCGGTCCTTGTCACGCGCTGGAGGAGCAAAAGCGTCAGACAGTTGCTCTCTCTCACAAAAATTTCATCTGTGAAACCAGTAGCACGTCGAAAGTCAAAAGAAACACTCGGTATGCACACCACGCTTTGTTCGGTGCAATACGAACAATTCCGTTTATTCCCTGTGCACAGGTGTGTTTCCAGTAAAAAAAATTAGCTAGAAAAGTGTGTTTTGACGAAGGAATACAGTATAGACCACTTACAACGTAACCGCTTATAGTGCAGGACCGGGTATAACGTGGCTTTTTTAAACCACCGGTTCGTTTTCCATAGAACTCCATGTAATTACATACCGTTTACAATGCAGAAGCTCGAAGGGAAATACCGGTTATAGTGCGGTTTTTGGAACAGCCCGCCGACCGCGCAGACCAACCAATGCCAGCTAGCCGCAAGCGGCACTCGCGGGGCAAGACGCGGGGCAAGGAGGTTGCTCGAAGAAGCGGGGAGAAGCGAAGAGAGAGGCTTCAGTTGCCATAGCGCCGGAGGGACGCACGCACATGTCGTTCACGTGCGTGCGTCCCTCCGCTGCGTTGGAAAACAACTGCAACGACAAACCAATCGCAGGTCGAGGAGAAGTGTTCGCTCACGTAGCATGCCGGTTGCGGGCCAGCTGCTTCTATCCGCAAACATGGCGTCGGTTGTAATCGTTAACGTAGACGGCGTGGTGGAAGCTCATCGTTCCGCGTAAAAGCGCTATCCTTGACTGTGAATTTTCGTTGTGTGAGCGAATAACCCAGCACGTACTAGAAGGGAAGATCCACCTACTCGTGCGGCGATGTCGTGGCGGCACTCTCAAGACGGCAGAAACGCCCGTGTCGTCGTGTTTGTTTACTTCCACTACAGTGGTGCTTTCTAAGCATTTGTGTTTTCGAACATCGCCCGGATTTCTTATTTGGAGCATTTCATGCCTGTGCTCAAGTTGAAGGTACTGCTGGCGCGTACCGTATAAAGGATGCAAATTTTCACGCGTTTTATCGCCGGAGAAAAGTGACTAGGGTTAGCAATCCTTAACGCTCGCAACGTCCGTCCGCAACCAATACCTCGAAACACTGCCGCATCCCGCGACGCCGTTAAAAGGCTGCGCCAGGCGAAAGTCGCTCATTTCTTTCAAAATTTGTGACACACTTGAGAGAGAAGTGTACTAGTCTGGTGAAATAAAGACTTTCTTCAAACTAAGCTTTATTTTTCATCTAACATAAAATAAATTCTTTTACAAAGGTAAGTTGTCCCATGGCATGTATTTTGACCCAAGAAATTGATGCTTTGGTTATAGCGCGGTACTGCTTATAGTGCAAATTTTCGCGACTCCCGCGACATACGTTATATGCGGTCTACACTGTATTGTAATATCCCAATTCAATATCCCTTCCCCCTCCTCCATCTTTAGGCAAAAATATTGATCTCCCCTAAAGCGCAGAAACAATGCCCACGCACCAAAAATCATGGCCAGCAGCATCCATAGCGTACTGCCCAACCTGAGGAAACAAAATCCATTTGGCCGTAAAGCCAAAAAAATAAATGAAAGAAATTTGTCCCTTTCTCGCACTGACGGGAAAAAGGTGATAGTACCGCATAAATCTTTGCACGTTGCTCAGCGGTGATGTTGTATGCAGAAACTTGGTACGCATTCTAGGCCTATGTGGCACAAACATTGTCTCACGAAGCGTCTCTGAAATAAAGCCCTGCCAAAGCCTATACAAGATTACGCTAACATAGCACTTTCCTCCAACCAGTTTTTGTGCGACACTCTTCCAACACAAAAAACTGCTAGGAGCCAGCCCAAAATGTTTTGTTAAAAAGACGATCCTCAGAAACATGAAAGAAGCCTCACCGGAGCAGTGTCGAAACTCGATTCGTATGTGGGAGCCATCAAACATTTCCATGGGGATGGAAACCTGCAATTGAGGAGAAGGTAAAATCTAGAGAAACATCTCCAGTGAATCAAAGACTGAGCAAACTGATCTTAAGGTTTTCCGCCCCATGTCTCGACTCTGGGTCGTCCCAGTCCACGACCAGCAGACCCTACAGGCAACGCCCACGAGAAGTTCTCCAGAGATTCCTGGGTGGTGCACTATGCGCCAACATTTTTTAGGGTCTAGCCTCGTTCGGCGTCCGTGCTCACACCGATTGCCATCCCATCTGTCGTCTTAAAAAAAGAAAAAATGTATGCGCAGTCGACAGGATTCGAACCTGTGCGGGGAGACCCCAATGGATTTCTAGTCCATCGCCTTAACCACTCGGCCACGACTGCGGGACGAGTAGGGGGCTCCAAGATGTGGTTGTAACTCAAGAGCTGGGGTTTCTGTCGTGGATGAAATGTTGCATGTAGCCGCTCAACGTCTATACAGGAGAGGGCGCTGCGGTCAAACGATCAAATGCGTATATAACCACGTTCCATACCACACATTCTCTTTCTGGCATGGACCGTTGACTTAAGCGGTGGAGATGCATTCCCACGGGTTCTAGTGGATCCAAGCTGATCCGCTAGAAGGACCACTGGCTCTGCATTTCATTGACCATAAAGCAGTAGTAATGAAGTCGAAACGCAACTTAGAGCTCAGCACTCCCTATGAGCAATAAAAAAAAATCAGCCCCATCACCACTACCTATGAACAATAAAATCAGTATCACCAGCACCACCAGAGCTTTGTCCCAATCAAAATCATTCACCACGTGGAGATGGGGTCATTCTTTATCCTACATTCGAAGCTATTGGGTGCATATATTATAGGAAAGCATACTTTAAATATTATAAAGATACAGAACTTGACTGGTCTCATGACCCAGCAAATGTTCTTTCATTTGGCAAAGCAGAGCACCTTTGTGCCCAGGGCAGCTAACTTTGAAACCACCATCGTTCCCATTCCTTTCCTCCTCTTATCCCTTGCCAATATCCCTAGTGCAGAGCAGTTGCAAGGGCCATGTGCTCAGGCTAACCTCTCCGCCTTTCAGTCATCCCTCAAAACATTAAAAATTATCTTTTTCTTTGAATGCACTCGACAACTACCTAGTATAAATGTTTCCTCAACCACAGCAGCAGCATGTCTGCTGCTTTTACAGCCAAGGAAGAGCCTAAAAAGTGCTACCGCTTAAACAAAAAATATTTTGGGACCTTGCGTATCACATGCACACACCTTCAAAAAACTAGCTCCTCGTTCGTCATGACCGAAAAAAAATTTTCAGAAGAGCTTTACCGCAAACAAACAATGGTCCGCCCCTGAGTATACAGAGACGACCATATTTATGACGTGCCTAGCTTGGTGCATTTGCAAGCCAGACCAGGGACTGGAATTGGCTGCGTAGCGATCGTGCGAGAGTTTGACAATCGTCAGGAGAAGAAAGTTGGGGGTTCAGAGAGCCGGCCAGTTTCCCCGTAAAGATCTGCTGTGCACAACCCCAGGCGCCCAGCACAGACCCGGGGACATGATATGGACAGCTCATCTTTTCGTCTGACTGCGAGGGTTCGACCGGCCAGTTACGACCCCTCGGTGGCACTCTCTAGGAGGATAAAGACTGTCTACAGTCAAACCCGTTTATAACGAACAGCAAGAAACGCTACGATCAGTTCGATATAGCAAGTAGCAAACGATTTACAACAAACTTCCCCGATGCGTTCATTGTAAGGCGAGAGCTTCTCTTTCTTTCTCATCTCTTTGCTTCCGCCTTGTAACAATGCGCTAAAGGTTTTTTGTTTTTTTTGCATTTGTGCAGAGTTCGTTTTTTTAGCTTATCTTCCCTTCTGAATCGCTTCTGTTCATGGGCAACCATTTTGGGATGGAAATATCTTTTCTGTGCGTGCATGCAGAGCATATTTTTTAGCTGTCCCCCCTTCTGAATCTTTTCTTCGCTCAGTGTTGTTCGCAACTTGAGCTTTTGGAATTTTTTTTCTTTCCTACCTTTTTTTGGGGGGGAAGGGACAGGCTAGAAGACGATTGTTTGCGCGTTTTTGGAAGCCTTGCAGGGGAAAAAGTTTGATATAGCCAATATGTTGTTCTTTATAAAAAGTACTTTTTACATGCATTTTTATTTAAATTTTCCGCACGTTCGATATCGACAATAACTCGGTGTATGTGGGTTCGTTCTAAACGGGTTTCACTGAAGTATTTACGTAAAGCTCAACTGATAGTTTGTCTTGTTTTGTTTTCTTCTCCCAAAACAGCGTATTATGGGGTGTTTCCTACGGTCCCCATCATTTCCGCCGATCCAGAAGTGGTCCCCAAAACATCAGTGGTTGGGAGCGCCAGGGAGTGCTTGGTATGTACATGCATCGATGGGTGGCTCGGACAGACTGGAATACATCACTTAAGAAACACTTTACCCTGGGTCAGGGACGATCGAGGAAATTTGAGAGTCTGGAGAACTTTCGGGATTGTAGGAACCCATTTCAAGAACCCATGCAATAGAGTGTAACTGTAAACATAGACCTCCCTACGGTTTTAGTTAAATCAAAGTTCATAGCCCCCCCCAAAGTAGCTATTAAATGAGCGGTGCTACAATTGCACGCTACGTTCTCCACATGTAAGCATCAACTTTAGATGGTCAGGGTGCAGCTTACGATCTTCGATCGATGCAGCCCATTTCAATCGCTATAGGCAGAAAAATGAGGAGATTGGAACCAACCTTGACGGTATCTGACCAGCGTGGGTTGTTGTTGTGGTACAGCACCAGCGAGCGAAACTCGGAGCAAGGCTCCTCCCCCGTCCCGGAACTCAGGCAACCCTGGACGGGAGAAGAGCACACTGGGAAATACTTTTCGGGTTCATCGCCACGGCCAGGAGTAAGCACAGAGACCGACTCTTACTGCTTACGGTTTAAGGGCAACTGATTACGAGGAAAACCAAACGTGCTGCACAATTTCTCGTTCTCGGCTTCCTCGCATCTATTACAATAACAAACTTGACGACTTATTACTAGGTTTCTTTCTATTTTTTGCCGTTGAAGATCCAACACACACTGCCTCAATGTAGGGTGTACAATGAAATACCACGTGAGCAAACTCGAAGAATATTTTTAAAAGTTTGCCTAAGTGGAAGTTGACTCAACTGAATGCATTGGACACAATGGGGATCTGCTGGGCATTTATACAATAATTTGTTCAACTGAACAGTTTGTTCAACTGGAGGTTGTTAAACTGGAGTTTGTTCAAGTGGGAGAATATCTCACTGGAAACTGACACCAAGGGGTGACAGAAAAGTGTAAGATGGAGGTTAGAGAGAAAGAGTAATGAAGAGAGCAGAGGGTTCCTCTGGGCGACTGCACAAGTCCTGGCTGTCCTTGGAAGCCATCCCAGCATAGGATGCTTGGAAATAGTTCAAGCAGAGCCAAAGGAGGACCCAACTGTCTGCACTAGTCACTAGTGAAACTGGGAACAGATGCACAAGAAGCCAAAAACTCCCCCACAGGCCTTCCCTCTTTTGGCAAACCAATGCCTGTTGTGCTTGCAGAAACTCATTTTCTTTGAGAAAGATTTGTTCAAACTAGGTCGGACATTCTTTTTGAATTGAAAGACTGCCATGGAAACCAATAGTGCAGTGGAAAGTGCTCGTTCGGGGTACTAACTAAACCAGTAGAGCTTGGGACAAGTCATTAATTTCTCCGAGCAAATTAGGAAAAAGCATCCATGTCGCGTTCGCACCGTATCACGCAGCGTACATCTGTACGAAGTAATGGCGATTTGAGCAAACGTTGAAAACTGAACTGCTTCATTATGTACTCATCAACATAATTGAAAAAGAAAATCCGCACAAAAGAGGGCAATGTATAGTCAAATCTTAAATGGACATCCACTCATGATGAAATGATAAAGGGTGGTCTGTCGGGTAACAAAGCACTATTTTAAAAAAGAGACAAACAAGCCGGCAACCACTACTAACACACACAATATGCAAACTGATATCGTGGACATGGCAAACCCTTATCCCACGGTGCTAAATTCATTAATGCGCGCAAAAAATCATTTTCGGCACGTCTAAAAACAATTGCAATCTCTTCGGGAAGGACCTGTGCGGCAGCCGATACCTGAATCGACACTTTATGGGCGTACCAGCGATAACCAACGACGTAAAAAAATAAACCAGCAATGCGCGCGCCACCTAGCCAACGGCGGCAGCAGCAAATGATGCGTGGACTGGAGCGCATGCCTCAATGGCTGTCGGCTAGGCGGCCAACCCGCCGCCAAATGCACATTTGTTCACTCGGGCATGCACCGCCCTTTTTTCGTTATTAGCCACCACAGGAACGGGCCATGGATGGCAAAGGTCGAGAAGAAGGCGGTCGTACATAGAAAGCGACTCATTACGATGCCTACAACAAGTCTACGACCAGTGCATTTACCGCGTCCCCAAAAGTGCTCCCTCGGCTTGTTCCCGACGACGTTGTAGAAGTGCTCTTGCCGGCCGCGATCCTGGCAGTGTCATAGCAGCGGCGGGAGATGTGGCAGACGCCCGCTGCACGTCGCTCTCCAGCTCCACGTAAGATTCAATTCAGTAACCAGGGGTTGGGATGCCGCGACGACAGTGACACTCGCACCCTCTCATGCTTATCCCAAACTTCTATGGTCATCTGACAGCCTGACACTAAAACTTTTAATATGAAAGCATTAACTGTCGTGGAGCAAGCGGTCATCATCAGTTGGAAGCGCGAAAACGGCTCCTAGTTTCCGCAATAGCCTTCGGTTCTCTTGGCTGGCGCACGCTGACGGGGCTCTCATAGGGTGCTGCGCCATGGCCTCCGAGATCCCAAAGTGTGCGGGCGCCAGTACATAGCAGACGACAAAAGGAGCGGAGGAGCGGCTTGCACGCTTTCGCATTCACACTCGTAAGAAATGCTTAGGTGTACCTCGAGCATTTTGTTATGTCATTTGCTGCCACTTCGAGACCACCTTCCTTGCGTGGGCAGAATGGGACACACACCGGTCAGGGCCCCCATCCCAGGCACCGTAGTCTCGTCGGCAATGTCTCGGTAGCTTTCCACCAGGAATAATTAGCTAGATAACCAGGCCGAGCGATCTTTCAGGGGCAGGAGTTCATTCCGGATTTTATGGCATCTAACGTTCTCGGTGAATATGGCACTCTGGAAAAGCGGCTCCCAGACTGGGGGGGGCACGAGTAGCCCCGTCCGGACCCCACCTGGAGCAGCTGTCCATCGGCGGCCACCAGCAGCACCGTGGCCTCAATGTTCTTGCCGGTCGACTTGCCCCCCTTCTCAAACTCGCCCCTGTCCAGGGTCAGGTACAGGTCGTTGCGCACATCCCCTGCACCGGGCACGCACATCAAGCTATTACTGCACACTCGACACATCTAATGACAACGTCTTTCTGTTCCCACACCTGCTACGGCCTACGCGTGAGAGTCGCAGTATCCTTTCCAATAGAGAAGATCCATTGGTGGATCCTTAGGGAATGCATTAGAATGACCCCTGGGGAACGTCACACACTTTTGAGAAATGTTAATACTGACCCCTTCACTTTTCAGTTTGAGATTTCTCTTTTGATTCCTCTATTTTTCGCTTCCTCTTTTTGGCCTCGTTACGGGGTCAGCATTAGCACTTCCCAGAGGGGGACGTGTGTTGCGTTTTTCAAGGGTCATGCTAGCCCATTTCCTAAGGATCCACCAATGGATCTTCCTGTAATTTTGGCCTGCTTTGGGGGCTTCCTTTGCTAAGCGCTGCTTCCGCTCCTCTGCAGCGGCATCCACTGCCTGTTGCTGCTTCATTCACAATCCATCTGCTTTTCTCGCCCACTTGGACCAGCGACAATACTTGGTTCACGCTTCATTTTGTAGCACAAACCAAGGCGCTCCTGCAAGGTCAGACTAACTCTCCCACGACGTCGCCTCCCTCTCGCCTTTGTCCACTCCTCTCTACGCGCTTCCTTTCCACTGTTTGCTCCGCAGACAGATGCCCTCAGCATTTCCCTGTCATGTGGCTACTAATGCTACCCCATTAAGAATAAATAAAGAGCCTCGAAATGTGAAACAGGCCACGGTTGAAGGAACTTGGCTGGCTGCCAAACATGCGCGTCGCCAGCTTCACCGGCCACACAATGCAACTGTGCAAAAAAACAAAAACGTAAGAGGCAGGACTTCGAGATGCCTCAAGACGACTTGGCCAGCTGCAAAAGCTTTGCAAACAAGAAAAACAAAAACGTTCTCAACAAAATAAACATTGGTTCTGTTCCAAATGCTTTTGTTCTGTTCCTTCTTGTTCCGAACGCTTTTGTTTCTTTTTTGTTCCGGAGCGCGGGAAGGTGTGTCTCCCGGCACTAGCTCTTGCCAATGACAGTGCTACCACAGCATTTTGCCATCTGCTGTTTTGTTTTTTCCAGAGAGCGCATGCAGTGGGCATCGGGTACTACAAAACCACTAAGTTTAAAGCGGGTTGTTGATGCTGCGGCACAGCTCAGTGGTAATGCCTCCGCTTCGCACACAATGCACCCAGATTCGATTTCCGCGGGCTATCTTTTTCAAAGATTGGGCAACATTGATGACGGACGCAATACATTGCCAAGCACAACGTTGAAAACAACTAGGTAGTACTACAACGTCAACAACAGACGCCATTTTCAGTGGTGGGAAACGCCCATAACAGCTGCCACTGCAACAAAAACTGAAGAAACAAGGATGTGGTGACGCTGGACATGGCATCGCATGCCTGGAAGGCTGAGGCTAGAGTTAGCGTCCGCCACGCTTCTCATAGAACACAATTCTACATATGAGAGTTTGATCGACAGATCCGAATACAGCTGCAAATCTTTTTGAATCATGCTGACAAAAATTAGCCACGGGGTCACTGGGCAAATTAACATGTAGCAGTTCTGTCTGAGCACAAATTACTATACCTACCTTTAGAATACTATCGTTAATTTCCTTTCTTGATTAGTAAAAGAAGATGATAGAGCTGTTATAAAATTCACCAACACACAAGCGCCAATATCTTGCCCGCTCGTGAGATCAAACGTCAATTAGCGTTCCTGCGGGGCCAGAATCAACATCCGTCTTTGACTTTGCTGTAACCTGAGCGTCCTGTACCCTTGTGCCTGAAGCACCATTTTTTGTTTCGACTTCTAATAAATGAGACTACATGGGTTTTCAGCCTGACTTGGGCCAAAACAGTCCTCCACGTGCTTATTTCCACGTACATAATGATGCAACACGGTATCAGAAGTGGGACCCGCCCACGAGTCTTACTTTCCTCGATCAGAGGCTTCTCTTACCAGAATTAAGCTCTCCGAAAGCTCACCAAACCATTGAACTAGGTCCTTGTTGTCCAGAAGTTCTTAAGTAAAAGGAAGGAAGGAAAGGAGCATTGACCGGGCATGATGACATCCGGGAAGCCCCTCTTGCGGGTGATGATGGCGCTCTTGAGGAGCACGGGGTTTTCCTGCTGCAGCTGCGAGAGCTCTCCTTGCAGCGAGCACAGGGTCACCACCAGACCTGGGGGCAGGCAAAAAGGCACACACCGTTGGTCTGGGGAGGCCCTCCAAGAAGAGGAGACCAGAGGGGCAGCCTCCAGTGTGGCGAGCAAGTTGACCAAAACACGTCTTTCTGCACCCAAGCGAAAGGTTATCTCATGGGGCCCCGCCACTGCACGCGGCATTCCCCTCGACGAGTAGCCAACAATGTCTCGGACGAGAGTTTTTCGTTCAATCTAGCACGTCTGGTAGTTTCCAAACACAATGTACCTTTGCGAGTATTTTCTCTTCCCTTTCTTGAAGGCAGAGCCCTCATCCTTAAGGCACAGAAGAAATGGCATAGAAAAGGCAAGGCAGCCATTGGTACAACTAGCAGGCGTCGCGTTCAAGTACCCTCTATATCAACAGCCCTCGAATAGGGGTACGCAAAGCCTTTTACCTTCAGTCAAGCCGAGTGATTAAATTTTCCTTTTTACTGGTGCTGGCTGTCCCACAAAGCTACCAAACTATATGTGCCGAGCGAGTATTTCAGAGCTTCAAACTTGTTTTGCATGTAGGTAGTTTTCTTCATTTACCTCTATGTCACTGTAATCGTCCAGGCGAATGGGATCCCTCATCAAATGTGCCGATTCAGAAGGGGTCGCCAAAGCATCAGTGGTCAAGAACCACTGCTCTATATCGTTCAATCAAAGCTCAGCACCGGGACGTCACTGCACCCTTTGTGCAAGTAGTAGATCAATTTGCTCAAGGTATAGAGCAGTGGAGACTGCATCGTAGTTTTTCCAGATGTACGAATAAGAACTCAGTGAAGATATGCAAGTCCAAACGTCTTTCTCCGTAATGTCATCGTCTGCTAAGTAACCCTTCTAATGTCCCCAACATTCCAGACGTCCCTGACCGATTGGCCGGAAAATGCGGGTGTCTCTCTCGGCGGTTTAAATAGCCGCAAGAGGGATCTTGAGGTAGTGCGACCGACTCCATGGGGACGAGAAACTAAAGCTGCATTCCGGGCAAATGGCTGCCCTAAGTCCGTCCTCAATTCGATCGTTCGACTCCGAACCTGCACGCAGAAAGAGGGTGCACGGGCTTGAAACGTGAGTGAAATAAATGGCAATCATATACTTTAGGAGCGGCACGTAAAGTTGTTTCTGGAAAAGGTCCCGTTAAGCGAGAATTAAAGAAAATGACAGGCAACGCTTGCGTCTACCGAGTCGAATTGGCTGGAAAGCTGGGTCTACCTCCTCCCCATGAAGCCAGTAATGTGACCTCAAAATCCCTCTTGCGGCTCTTTTACCCGCCGGGAGACATCCACCAACAAGCTGACCCTGGCCGGATATTGTACGCTAAAATAACATCTCAAAAGTAAACTTGTTTCGTATACAAAAATAAAGAGATAAATATGTGTGGCTGCTTGTCTGGTATGCGACAGAAGAGTGTTTCGAAGCCCGGGACACATTCCACTCATTGCAGTCACAATGAATCAAGCTTTGCTGTGGTTCTTCGTGCCTCGGAGCCTAGTGACAAGTCACAGCATTAGTTCACCTTCTCCCACTCGCATGTTTGCCAGCATGTCTAGCCAGGTAGCGTAGGTCTCCATCCGAATCGAGGAGTCGACCCGCTACTCCTCCACTCATTGCATACCTGCGCTGTCATCAGCCATGCGGAAGCATGCAGAGTGTAAGCCATATTTTCCTCTGCAAGTCTCAACCTTCCAGATATTCACATTTATAAAAAAAACCTTAATATCTTATGACATAAAAAGATTCTACGAATCTATACTCCCAACTTTTACTGCAGCAAACTTTCATCATTACGTAAGAACCACAAATGAGCAACAAGAAACTACCAAACTCCCTCATTTTTTCAGGTACATTTGAAATAAACAACATATTGGTTTGTTTGTTTGTACGAGTTTATTTGAGACAGACTCGCAGAAAGCATTATTGACTTTTTGCTTTTGCTTTGTCTTCCTTTACCCCAGTGCCACATATTCTTACTGAAAATATAAAGTGCAAAGGGACAAACAAGGACATAAAGTAGACACGACAGTGCTATCCTGTCTACTTCATGTCCTTTTTTTGTCCTTGTCAGTCGGGAGAGTGCTGTCCTGTCTACTTCATGTCCTTGTCTGTCCCTTTGCACTTTATACTTTCAGTACGTTGAACCAACTACCCCAGTGACGTCACCAGGGTCAGCGGCACCCGGGGCGCTGGTCTGCGTGACAATTGCCCCAGCTGCACCTCCCTAACCACTCATTCACACTGGAAGCGGATCTCCATTCAGAAAGCGGTTGCAAACATGTTTGTATAACGATCCAGTACAATTGCATGCGCACTTGATGTCATCGAGAGAGTGTGCAATTGCACTGGATCTTTAAACAATCGCGTTCGCAACCGCTTTGCGAACGCGGATCCGCTTCCAGTGTAAATGAGCAATAAGCGCTACACCCAGGGTGGTTTGTTCCCCCCTCGTAACGCCACTGATCTAGCCCGCCTTAATATTTTAGTTCACATTCCCTATTTCCCGGTCTATAGGTCGCGCTGTTGTACAAGTCGTGCCCTCTAAAAATGGCAGTTTTCACAAAAAAAAATTGGTATTAGCAACTCCAGCAACTAATGGGGGTCGCCACTATCGGGCAAATATGGCGGTCTTAGACCGGTCGTGCCCTGCCATGTGCCAGCTCATCGTACAATGCTCAGGTTTCAGCAGGCAAGCAATGCACTCAAAATGGTTTGCCCTGATTTTTATTCACTATGTTTTAAACCTGCGGCAATGTCTTAGCATAAGCGAGCTTCCGAAGGCTCGAACTTCTGCGAGGAAGCGATGGAAGGATTGCGGTGCCGATGAACGTTGATAAACCCACGATGTCTGGTTCACGCAGTAACATAGGTTGCGTTCCGAACAACTGGGGCAATATAGTTATACGACAGTAACAACAGAGTCACCGGAACAACCGTTTCATCGTGCCAACCACCGACAACGCATAAAGCTACGTGGGCCGTGCAAAAAATTGTCAAAGGACCCGTTTCGTTCAGTTTAGTGTTCCCCACAAGGTGTCAGCTGTTTTGCTGGAGTTAAGAATATAAGTTGCACTTCGCAGAGTGAAACTGCATTGATACTAAACCCGCACACGTGTATCGCGATCACAATTTAAGCGCAAGCGGCAGTCGGTTTCAATATTCTCGCCAACGAATCGAAGGAAAAATGACACCCCTGCAGCCTACATCTCGCACAGCTAAGGCTCATACTTATAAAAAAAAAAGAAGAAAAGATATAATAGCACCGTCGTACGAGACGCGCCAACAGAAATTTGACACAAAAACCGCGGCTTACACACCAGAAAATACGGCATTCTTCTCTGGAGGAATGCAGTCACTTAAGGGCGACCGCTGGACATGGTGCAACTTTTGTGGAGTGTGCACCTTCTACGCGTTTTTCACCAAAAAGGTATTTTGTGAATGCAGAAAGCGCACAACAGAGCTGCGGCGAGTGCGCGGGTGGGACGTGACCACCCGCAACTGCCCGTGCAGCCTTGGGCGTGGGACTGAGTGTCCCCACTCACCCAGGTTGGGCTGCCCCGGGAGCATGTTGTACTTGTGGCTCATCTTCTTGATGATCAGCTCGTGCAGCTGGTGGAAATCAGACTCATTGCATCTGTGGAGGGATAACATGTTGCTCGCTGCAAGACTCAACTTCGAGAAAACATTGCTTCTCAAGTGCCAGGACGGGACGCATATTGAGACACATGTCGAGTTGTGAGCGATGCCAAAACATGCCTAAATTTTGAGGCGTGGACCCCGATCAAGAGCATGTTTCGGAATCGCTCAAGTGAGTCTCCCAACGTAAATACTGTGCCAACTCTTTTTTCCAGGAAAGTTTGTTCTGTGACATACTATATGCATTATTCGAGCACTTTTAAAAAATGTTTCTCGGGACCTTAGTGTCCCTTTAAAAAACATATGCAAAGGAAAAAAAATGTTGAGCCCTTCCAGTTCACGTGAAGATTGAGGACCAGCGAAGCTGTTCTCTTTACGATGTCTAGGACAATGCCTAAAGGAAGACCTCTAGGACGACCTCAAGGACAACATCTAGGACAGTCTCAAACACGACTTCTAGGACAACTTCTAGGACGACCTCAGGGACGACGTCTAAAACGACCTTAAGGACGACCTCTAGGACGACCTCAAGGACAACATCTAGGACAGCCTCAAACACGACTTCTAGGACAACTTCTGGGACGACCTCAGGGACGACGTCTAAGACGACCTCAAGGACGACATCTAGGACGACCTCAAGAACGACTTCTAGGACGACCTCGAGGGTGACCTCAAGGATGACTTCTAGGACGACGCCCAGAGAAATTCAGCCTTTCCACTCTGGTGAAAACCAGAGTGGAAAGGCTAGAAAGGTTACCGCCATCTATGAGCGTTGGCGGCAACCAGACAACTGGCAAGTCAGTTGTCTGGTTGCTGCCATCGCTCATAGACGGCGGTAGCTGACCGGAGTTTTGTGTCGACATTTGTTTGCCTGCAAACACGATACTTGGGAAACTAGCACTTAACAGCTATGCTGTAAAATTTTTGAACAGCCTAGATCGAAAAAGCATGTTAAAAAAAAATCTAGAAAGAAAAACAAAATTTTTAGAGTTAATTTACGGTGCAAAACGAATTTGTAGTTGGCGCCCATGGGAGCCTGCAGAAAAGTGGCTGCTGAAGTCACGTCTGGCCGCTATAGTCATTTGGTGCTTGCACTCTTTCGAGAGCTTCCTATAAGCTCTAAAAGTTACTTATTAATCTTTGTTTTAAGTGCAACAAAAAAACAAAGATTAATAACTAACTTTTAGAGCCCATAGGAAGCTTCTGAAAGAGTGCAAGCACCACGTGATAGACCTGTGTGCCGATCAGAAATTGACGGCAACGGCGCGATGGAGTTTCTCCACTCTGCCCTTCCGGCGACAGAGTGGAAAAACGCGTTCAGCCGGTGGTGCGCCACGCTCAGCATGCAGCGGCAGTGTGAGGGTTCTGGGGAGTTCAGCGGCGGCGCTGAACAGCTCCGACGTAACTTGCGGCAGCGGTGGTGCAGCACGGTGGCGCTGCATGGTGGCGCAGAGGTCTACCACGTGACTAGTGGCAGCTCCCGCGGGCACCAACCACAAACTGGTTTTGCGCCGTAAATATAGCTCTCTAAAAAAGGTTTCTTCGTTGTATTTTAAGACATCATCTTCCCATCCAAGCTGTTTAAAAAAAGATTTGTCTTTTGCATTTTTTAATGCTTTACCGGTTACAACTTGCATGAAGCTTTTGTGTCGGCATTTGTCGTTGCTGCGAAAATGAAAAAACCCTTCTCTCCCCTCATGGTGCAAAGAGAGACAAGTCAGGAGCTCCCATCGCCCGTGCCGCACAAAGAGAGGAGAGCCCCGACGACCTGCCAATAACGGTGCGACAACAAAGAGGTGGAGCATCTTCCCCCGTTTTCTGCTAACAATAACATTAAGACAGGTGTTTCACACATCATCCACATTATGCAAATCCCACTTTGGCAGTATCCTGTAGCTACACATAATGTTGGAGGGTTTTAGAAACTTGCACTGCATTCACTTTCACTATCACACTTCTCGAGCACAACACAAAACATAAAATATGCTCTGCCAAAACTCGTCACCTTGCACACGCCTCCTTGGCGAGCTTCGCCTCGTCTCTCGGCGTGCGTTCCCCTCTCCACTCATCGTGTCAACGTCCACTCCCTTCCTTCCGAACTCAAGAGCACCGGAAAAACCTGCGCCTTCGCAAGAGTCGGCTTTCCCCGTCAATGTGTGAGGTAAAAGCGATAGCTGTTGCACCATGCGGGCAAAACGGTGTCATCCCGTACCGTCCTCAGGTTAGTGACGACACCGTTTTGCCCGCATGGTGCGAACGTGCTACAGCCGTTGCTCCTTGGCACACTGCGGGCCAAAAAGGCAGCCTTTTTCTACAACGTTTTCTATCACGAATGCAAGTTTTTCATTATACGAGGAATACCATCTTCAACTTTAAAACTTCAGAGGACATAAAGTCATTCGAACGAATATATTTTGAGGCTTCCAATGCACGCAGGTGGATGAGCAAAGCGGGTGGGATAATGAGCTCACACGAAGAGCTTGATGGTGTGCTCCATCTCCCTGCTGAGCCCACTGCCATTCTCCCTGAGAAGGCTGGTCACCTCGAGCACTGCAAACATCACAGGAGCAGGTGTCAGTATCGCCGGTCATACTCATTTTACGAAAAAGCTGTTCATGGCTAAAGTTTCATGCATTGTTCGTGCGCGTGACCAAAAACTCTACGCTCGCACTGCCGCACGCGCTACATGCACATGCCTTTCCCTTATAAGAGATTTGAAGTAAATACCCGAAATAAAGCGTCGACGAACGTGCATGCAAGATGCCATTCGTTTTAGGCTTTCGCTTTAGAACAGTTCCTGCTGCAGGCGCCGGCATGTGCGGAGCGTGGAACACCATTCCCTGCATTCTCCTCGATGCTTGGGTAATTTAATGTGCGCACATCCTTTCGTCACAATGACCACCGAGACAATAAATGTGTTTGTACCTTTGTTCAAAATTCTGTCACGTCTCTGTCGTGTGCTAAACAGCTTTGCTGGCCATCCACCTTCACACAGTGCAATGGCTCATGATTTTGTTTCATAAACCATAACGCAAAACTTTTTTTTTTTGTCGGCAACTTGGTACGAATGTAAAGGAAACATTTACGTGGACTTGCTCTCACTATTCCCATATTTTGCTGTCTATACCTTAGTATATGTCGCATCCAGCTATAAACGGGAGTGCCTGGCGAGTGCATGACGGGAAAGACGGGGAAGCGACACGAGAGCACTCCCAGGACCGCTGGCTGGGTCGTGGCGCCGCAAAAAAATGTTTTTCACTGGCGACAGCAGCCACGTGCGGGACAAAATGGTACGACACGTTGGAAGGATGGCTGAATCCAGCCATGGCTCATCTCAATGCACAATTCTGTCCAAAATCATTCTGAACGGGATAGTTTTGGCCAGAATCTTTTTTTGCTTCCGCTTGCCCGTCTCGTGACAGGGTCAGTAGGCGGGGCTATTAATAGCCAAATTAGGCTATTTATCCGTATTTAGCCGCAAAATCTGGAAATGGCCATAGCCTGTGGGGTTACCTTTGGGTCATTTTCAATTCTTGCTCGGAATCGGTAGCAAATACCCCTAAATCAATTTTAAATTGTAAAAATATTAATCTTTTTTTGTTTGATTCGAGATATTATTATATACCCAAAGTTTCTAAAAGAACAGTTTCTAAGAAATGCACGGCAAATTTCCGGGCAATTGTTTTGCGCAAGAAATGTGTAATGCCAACGCTCTTGGTGCTCCTCTCTGGTTAGATTAGCAACTGGCTGAACGCGTATCATCTACACTCAATAGCAATTCCTGGAATGGAGATGCCAGCGTTAACCCGGGTTTTAAAAAATGACCGCATCCCTGCGTGGTGAATGACATTGATTGGGGGGAAGCTCTGGTGGCGCTGATGACACTGATTTTAATGTTCACAGGTAGTGCTCATGGTGCTGATTTTTTTTTATTGCTCATAAGTGGTGCTGAGTTCCCGGTTGCATTTCGACTTCATTATTACTGCTTTATGGTCGGTGAAATGCAGAGCCAGTGGTTCTTCTAGCGAATCAGCTTGGATCCGCTAGAAGCCGTGGGAACGCATCTCCACCGCTCCAGTCAACGATCCATGTCAGAAAGAGAATGTGTGACATGAATCGTGCTTATATACGCAGTTGAGCGTTTGACCGCAGCGTCCTCTTGTGTATAAACTTTGAACCAATGCATGCAAAGTTTAACGCGATTATATACGCATTTGACGGCAGCGCCCTCTCCTGTATAAACGTTGAGCGGCTACATGCAACGTTTCATCCATGACATCCCCAGCTCTTGAGTTACTACCACATCCCAGAGCCCCCTACTCGTCCCGCAGTCGTGGCCGAGTGGTTAAGGCGATGGACTAGAAATCCATTGGGGTCTCCCTGCACAGGTTCAAACCCTGTCAACTGCGCAAACATTTTTTCTTTTTTTAAGAAGACAGATGGAATGGCAATCGATGTGAGCACAGACGCCGGACGGACAAGGCTAGACCCTAAGGAGCTTCACCCCTAAAACCTGTGACAGGGTGTCAGCGTATGCCTCGCAGGGCTTTCCTGCCATGTAGCACCCAAACTTACGGCTATGAGTCTGAGTTCCATAATTCCTGCCTGGTGCAAACACTTTGTTACTGTGATGGCTCCCCCCCCCCACTCAAAAGCAACCAGTGGGGAGCCTCGTGGCCACGGTTTCATCTGTCCCAACGATTCCATTGAGCTGGCAGAACACGACCTCTCAAGTGCTGCCTTCTTTACTCAAATAGTAACCACTTGGGTCTTAGGTATCTGTTACACGTGAATACGAATCTCGAAACGTTCCACAGTGCGCACATGCGCTCTCGTGAACTCAACAGGTTGCGTGCTCTCTTCCTTCAGCGCTCTCGCGTTGTGTGCTCTTCAATTCTACAGGCCCCATATATGGTCTGTGTCAAGTGCCACGATCGACGTACACGTGCAAGCGATATAGTCCCCGTGGCAAATTTCTAGAGGTAAAGTTCATACTTTTAGAACAAAATCTAGGTAAGTCTTACCGTACCTACAGTCGAACCCGTTTATAACGAACTCCATCGGACACGCATTTTAGTTCGATATATCAAGTAGTTCGTTATAGCAAATATCGCTATTTCGTGAGGACAGCAAAAGCGAGAGAGATGAAACGAAACCGCGCGGAATAGCGGCGAAGGCTGCCGAGCGTAGCGAGCCTCACGCCGGCGCTCAGAGCCGTGTTATCGCGAGGCAGCTTTCATGATGGAACATATGTATTCATATTTGCGGTTTCGTCGGTATTATAAATATCGCAAAGCCTGTACTGCTCCGTAATTGCTGGCCAGTTTTCGGCGATCCACTTCTTGACGCTTTCATTGTCGACTGCTCGACTCTCGCCGGCGACACTTTGCCGGCGATGTCGTAACGTTCCTTGAACCGTTGAAGCCATCCGGATCCGCCACTAAAATCTTGAACGTCGAGCAAAAAGGCAAAGTCTTTTGCTTTCTGCTGTAACATGGGGCCCGAAACTGGAAGGTTTCGAGCGCGAATATCCAAAAACCACGCGTACAGCGCCTTTTCCACTCTGTCAAAGGCAGGCGCCCGAATGCGCTTTCCGTCGGCGTTCGGTCGATCTCGGGCCTTTTGCAGGATCGCTGGCTTGTTTTTCAGTATCGTACTCAGCGTGCTTCTGGCGATCTTGAAGGATGCGGCGACTTCTGACTTTTTCTCGCCGCGTTCAACGCGCCGGATTATTTCCACCTTGGTAGAGAACGGTAACGATGAACGCACCTTGGTCGCCATCTCTTGCGGGAACAGGAAGGACACAAAGAACAACGAGCCTCCTCAGCAAAACGCTAGGAACAAGAGAGCCATGTCCGGCCTGGTACGGCTGCAGGATGATGTCATCAGAACGTCATTGCACGCTTGCTCTATCACTGGCCAGCGCGCTTCCGCGGGGGCCGGTTGCGGGCGTTCGCAGTCGGTGTTGTGACTCATCTTCTCAAGGGTCGTCGTGTTTTTCTTGGTTTTCTCTTGTCCTCTGTCGCTCCGTGCATGGCAGGGAAGCCAGCGCGCTTCCGCGGGGGTCGGTTGCGGGCGTTCGCAGTCGGTTTTGTGACTCGTTTTCTCAAGGGCCATCATGTTTTTCTTGGTTTTCTCTTGTCCTCTGTCACTCTGTGCATTGCAGGGAAGCTCGTGCGTCTCCACGGGGGCGGTAGCGGGCGCTCGCAGTTCGATATATCCGATGTGTGGTTCGTTATAGAAAGTATATTTCTCATGAATATTGATCTTAAAATTTCGTGTGTTCGATATAGACCATAATTCGTTCTAACCGGGTTCGTTATAAACGGGTTCGACTGTATTAAGAAAGTTTTTGAAAACAAGAAAAAGAAAACACGATTTTTGCTGGAAAAGATGGGGATTCCTGGCCTTCAATATGTCCATTCAGCATTACTTCACTATGGTACTGTTAGAAGCGTTGAGCAAGTGAAGAGCAACAAACAACATCAGGATGTCAAGAGGATGTTCTTTAAATGTTGTGCAAATCTCCACTTTTAAATAAGGTTTCAGAGTCGTCAGAGAGGTGGTGCAGCCCGCGATTAGAAACGAGAGAGCACTTGTAACTTTTAAACAAAAGTTTGTGCCCTTGTTGACGAGCTAAAGCGACCTGCACCGTGAGGCCATGTGGCCTTTCTCTCTCGGTGAGAATTCTAAACAAACTAGAAAATAAGCTGGAGGGGGCTGAGCAATAGTGGTAGGAGTGCCATCTGCCAGAGAGCACACAAAACACACTCTGAAACTCGAGCCAAACTCATGATCGGGTTTCCCGGCTTGTAGGATAGCACGGGCGACACTGGTGATTAGTAGCCCAGTGCCCTTGAAACGCCGAGCTTCAAACCCTCAATATTGATGAAATCTCGAGTTTCATTCATCTCCTTCCCTAAGTACACTGTGCAAATTTGATCTCCACAGGAACTTTTAACAACAAGCTACAGGAGGAAGGTATAAAGCTGGTCTAAATTTTGGTGATTATTTGCACTATAACGCGAGTCGTGATACAAGGCAGAATTTGCTCCTTGAGTTCCGCTGCAGAAAAGATGTTTTTCAATACTCCTTTTTTCCTCGTTCTGTTAGTGAGTGGAATGAGTTGCCACCAAGTGTGACGGCGATTGCTTCTACCGCTTTATTTGCGAGTGCAGTTGATGAATTTTTTTTGTCACCAATGACTAAGCTACTTGTTGTTTGTTCATTCGACTCATTGATGCTTTCTCATGTTGTCTATCATGCCCTCAAATGTTGGCTGGCCGTATTCTCAAATAAAATAAATAAATACAGCTAAGGATCGAAAGTCAGCTCAATTAGCTAGTTAGGAAAACTGCCGTATGAAACTGCTGCAAAAAATTAAGCATATCTCAACTGTAGCACGAACCAGAGTATACAAGGGGAGTAGCTGTCAAGTTTTCACACTTTTTTGTACAAAATATTAATCTGAAAAATGCTCCACGTTATTGGGCATTTCTTGCCCCCCAAAAGCCTGCTTTTTGGCAATATAAGAACTTGCTTTCAATAGA